TTGCTTGGAGGGAGAGTCCCCCTCCCTACGACCACGTGTCAGGGGCGGAAAATGGCCACGCACCACGTGTCAGGGGCGGAAAAATGGCCACGGAACACGTGTCAGGGGCGGAAAAATGGCTGGGGACGTGTCAGGGACGGAAAATGGCCACGGACTGTGTCACGGGAGGGAAAATGGCCACAGATCCTGTCCGTGACCTGATCCGGCGTTTGCGAACGGAGGCAAAATTTTGCGACCGGAGCTGTTCATGACCCGAATTGGTCATGAACAGAAGCGTTTGTGACCCGAGGCACCACTGTATGTTTAAAAAGAAAGTTCTTCTGGTCACAGTAGCTAAAAGCACCAGTCCAAGTTGTCTCTTTATAGCTCTCTTCGAGCACAATTACTAGAAACTGATAATGGAGGAAAAATTTTGAGGGAAGAAACATAGAAAAGTGTAGGAAATGTGAAAACTGCAGAATAAGCCCCACATTAGGCAATCATCATTTAAAAAATGAAATCTGTTAAACACTCAGCCCCATTCACAACTGTGATGCCCCTCACCTAGTCTGCAACCTTCAGGTACCACAAAACATTAAGTATGTTTATTGGCCAACCAAAAATTGTCCATTCCTGTCCTAAGATTTAGGATTTGAGGCAAGCCTGCAGAAGGCAACAAATGTGATGAATAAGCAAACATTACAACAATTAAACTACGAGCTACAGTAATTCAGGAACAGAAAAATGACATGTGGAGTTATTTATATTGACAAGTTAAACTATTAGCTATTTTATTTATATATATAAAATTAGTGAGACGCATCTAAACAAACAGAGTGTCAAATTTAAATTAAGCAAATTGTTGCTCTAGTCACAATTGATCAAGCATATTTGTCTCAACACAGAGAAGTGATTAGAATAAAAATTAAAATAAACAAGTAGACAATATCATTAAATCAGTTAAACAATATATTCCATCTTTCCTTTGGTGAACTGGATGAGATTCTAAAAAATGTGTTACTGATCAGACAAAGACTCCCTTCATTTCATCAAAGTTACTATGTAATGTGTCTTCAGACTATGGGCAGGAACAATAAGCTGAAAAATTATATCCTAATCAAACTATGTTTGAACAAACTGGACAGTAAATAAAAGGAAATCACAGACCTGAGGGCATTTATAAATAATCTATAATTTTTAAATATTTAATGAAATGTAAGTCAATTTAGAGCTTCTTTAGGTAATCACATTTTGAAAGAAAACTTTGTCTTTGTTCTGAATTTAAGGTAAAGGACAAAAATATAATTGAAATGTTGGTTGATAATTTTGCAGTGCTTAATTGCAGCAAACACATTAATATATTTTTACAATATGTACATTGGACAACTGAAGCAGAACACAAACTAAGGGACTTAATGGATAAAATATGACAACTAGTTATTTTAGCTTTCAATCCATTATTCACAATTGTTGATGCCAAAGACAGGACAAGGAGGCTCAACTGCAATCTGAACATTCCTTATGACTAAACTGTGCCATAAGCAAATAATCAGAATAAAAATGAACTGTTCAAAGCTAGGCAAAAGCTCATTAACAATAACTCAAGATAAACACCAGGTGCCCTACCGAGAACAAACAATGAGAAGTGCAGGGTGGAAGAATAAGTGCTGGTGGAACACTCTTAACCTCCTTCCCCATTGGTGTCTCCAACTCATGTACAGTTCAAAAAACTTTGGGTAAGATTCATGGGCAAGACTTTGAGAATAAAACTGTCTACCAAAGGGTAGATGAATATTTTATTCTTTTGGGCAGAAAAAAAAAAAGGAAATAGGTTGGTCATAGTTCTGAACTTACGGTCATATTTAGTATACCTGGTTCCAGGAAAGGAAGCTATCATTCAGTAGGGTAGGATTTTTGTTTTTTGGGGGATTTTTTGGTGCCTTTGGGTCCATGTTGACTCCTAGTGACTGCCTGGACAAGTTCCTGCAGTTTTCTTGGAAAAATTTTCAAAAGCGGTTTGCTCTTGCCTCCTTCTTTCTAGGGCTGAGGGAGAATGACTGGCTCTGGATCACCCAGCTGACTTTGTGTCTAAAATGGGACTAGAACTCAGGGACTCCCAGTTTCCAAACTGGCTCTCTTATAATACTATCAGAAGTACCTTTATATCGCCCTTCCTAATCCAACTGGAACCAATTCAGCCCCTATGCAAAAAAACAAAGACTACTGAATAAACACTTCATGTAAAAGATCCTTGGGTTAATCTACAGGAGTAAAAATTGCATCTCATGATGGAACATGTCTGAAAATAAAAAAGCTTCTGCCTTGTTTAACAGTAAAAGGGAGAAGGATTGCCCCAGTCCCACATTCAAAGCAGTTCTTGGCTTTTATGACCTGTTTACATTAGCAATCTTTTTCTTTTCCTGACTTTGGGAAAGTCAGCAAATGTGGAGAACAAAAAATAATGTTGAACGCAAAAGTCAGCCACTGAGTAGCAAAGGACCACATTAGTAGTTTGGAGAAGCTGAGAACTGCAAAGGAGGTAGGCTTCATCACACATATGATCAGGGCTGTTTCTGAAGGCAGTTTGAAGAGTTTTATTAAATATGGTACACCTATACCCCTCACTTCATTGTGCTTGTCATCTTTTACCTTTTTTATCGATTTTACTGTAATTTCTTTGATCGTTGTGAGCTGCCCAGAGAAGTTGAGAATCGGGCACCATACAAGTTTAATAAATTATTATTCTCATATGTTCCCCATCTTAACATGCAGAAAAGTGGGCTGTCACTTTTCAGCCATCCTGGTCACAAGGCTGGGAAAAAGAGACAACACGAAGCCTAGGAACCACAGATGGCTTGTTCCTGATGTAAGTGGTGGCACTATCTGGTTTGGAGTTATTTCTTGCTCTACACTTGTCAGTCAATGAGCTTCCATAACTGAGTGTAGACCCAAAACTGTATCTCTCCCTTCCTAGTCTAATACATCATTAGTCAATACAACGCACTCAGAATAGTTACCACAGAACTGGAATAACATCCAACCTAGAAGAAGAGATACTTGCCATATGTACATCCATTTATAAATGCAAAAGTTATGAACTTTGAGTCCTATGAGCTTTGACAACTTATATGAATGCTGGGCATACTGTACAGATAATCGTAATGTCCAAAGATAATCACTGTCTAGAGAGGAAATCTGAAGAGTTGGAATAAACCCAAAAGGCAGTAATTCTTATCCTGACTGCATTGTTTTTTGTTTTTGGCTTGGACAACAGCATTCCAATCACAGCTCCACTAAAAGCCTGTATTTTTCCACTGTTTTCTATAAGCAACTCTATCTTCCTTTCTTGATAAAGTCATTCCACAAACAGCATTCTTCCCAATACCAATACAAGACATTGCCCTGCTCTTTGGCCCATACTTTAAGGAGGATTTTTCTGGAAAAGCAGTAAATAAATACATAAATACAGTATTATCAGAAAACATTAAAACATTACAAGAAACAGAAACTGGAGATTCTGAAGGGGTTCATTGAGGAGGGAGCTCCTACCAAGGTGGATCTTGGAGGGAACCTCAGGAGGCCACTTAAGGCACTTAATTAGCCCTAATTCTGAGATTTAATACTGCCTAACATGGCAAGAAAATCCCAAACAGGAACATAAGGACTTGGAACAAATATCCATTTGTTACAGTATTTTAAAAACAGGGCAACATTTCTACTACACTAGAAAGAACAAAAACTATTCTGACAAGCTGACCGTGTGGGAATATTCGTCCCCAGTGGGGAGTATCAAATGAGGCAACCCATATAGGCAATATTTGTATTTTATTAGTCCCTTCAAAAGATGGGAAAAGTTCAGAAAAAGGATAAAACCTGAGTGCTTCTTGAGGTGTAAAGTGTAAAGAAACCTTCGGAAAATCACACATTTATAGGTATCGGGATTAAGTTCCTTTTCAGCCTTGAAAAAGCTGAACTCCACCTCATTCCCCGCTCCTGCGAAGTTCCTCCTAGAATAATCACCTTGTGCAAAGTGAGCCGGGGATATGCTCTTTATTCTTAATTTTCCCAATCCGGAAACAGGTAAGGGAATTAGTAGCCCAACACTTGGGAAGCGTATTCCCGGGCATAAAAGGGAGGGGGAGCATGAAGGGCATTTGCAGCAGCAAAGCGCGCGCTCTCCTTCATCACTGGACGCGGCTTTCTGCCTCCGAGAGTGCGCTTTTGCACCCAGAGAATTAGATGCCTCTATTTCCCCCCACCCCGGGTTGCTGTTGGCAAAAATGACAGGCAGACCTCGGGCGAGATGCGTGCACAGAATGGCGGCTCTACTCGCCCGTTTCTCCACCGACCCCACCGGGCTGGAGAAGCCCTTTAAGATGGCGGCGGCGGCAGCGCGCTTTCGCCCCCGCTGCTTTCGCCAAGCCCC